ATGTCAGACTCACCACCAGTAAGTGAAAATGGGGATGAGCACGAAGGACAGCCTTAATTAAACATATCACCAGAATGATTGACAGTTAGGATGACCACCGATCATCTTTTGATGATCCACCAAAGAAAAGAACATCCTCTACTATACCTTTTAATGAAGTAATTTATCAATCAAATATGACATTAAAGGTAAAAACAAATCTGCATCACTGAATCATGGCCTGGCATTTAGCACAGATAAATGAACCAATAAGGATGCATTCGCAGCACTGATATTTATATTCTCAAATGTATACGATGCAGCATTTGACAGGCAGGGCTAGTTCATTCTCCAAAATCTATGATCCAACACCCAAACATTTTTTTCACTTATGTTGGATATCCAAAGAACTGGGTAACAAATCATCCAGACCTGGTTTTATGTTAAAAAAAAAAATTATCAAGGAAAGACTTTAAGTCCAATGTTTGTTTGTTTTTGTTTTTTTTTTTCATATTTATGAAAGTAGAAGAATATATTTTTATAAAAGAATATATATAATCTCTCTAATTTGATCCGTTACATCCTTTATGCTTTCCATCCAGCATGAAATGAAGTCACCAAACACACTCAGGTTTCTCATTACTTTGTTTTATTCAGCTGCATTACTGTGCAAAGCCATCTGCCCGAAGACCCCGGGTCAGAGCCGAGGATGTAGTGTGTGTGTTATTGCTACGATCACTCAACCATCGTATTCATACAAGGGCAGATCTTTATCAGACCTGGTTGCTACGGCAACAGGTGGCCTTTAAAACGAGCAGATGCAGAGTGGGCCTGATCCTCAAAGGTCTAAATAAGCAGAGTTAAATTGTGTGAGTATAAAAATAATAATGTAAACTGCAAAAATAATTCCATTGTGTGTGACGATTAAGTAGACGGGTACAAAATGGTTTATTTAATGGTATGAAAATGAAAAGAGGTTGCGGTGAAATTAGAACTTGGCTAATACAATCGACCCAGGGTGGGTATGTGGTGTTTATTGTTAGGCCTGTCAGCAGCTGTTGCTCCTAAATAATCAGTCACAAATCTCAATGGATTCTAGCATTGGTTTACTTCATAAATTGGGATCCTTGATATTTATTAAAGCCTGTTTAAATTCACCAAACTAATGGGATTTTCCACTTGTTTAGGTGCTAAATATTGGAAAATGTTATAGCTGCATGTAAACCGTTTAATCCAGCAATCACTTTTTTATTTATTTATGAATTTTAACAAAGGATTGTTTGGAAATCAAACATTTTACAAGTGGGAATTAGTTTGAGGGGTGTTGTATGAGAGGAAAAGGAATATAGGATATAGAATAATTACTTTATAAGTTGGTTATCTTACTGCAATTACGCTTTGAATTCAATTATTTATGCATGTAATATTTTAGGACTTAATTGTCTGTGAAATTCAACAGACCATTGCCGTAGTATTTATCTTAGACCAAGAGAGACATTATACATGCAGTTTTACCAGCCTCTCTGCTTTATGAACGCAGTCACCCGACCTTCAGCATCCTCGCTCTTGAAGGCCAGTTTCCAGTGCTAGGCAACTACAGGGTTGACCTGTATTATTCCTCTGCGAAAGGCCAGGCTGATGGAAAAGGCCACTGGGGTTAGCAGATAAGTTGCACACCCAGATGACCTTTTGAGGGCAGCGATCCCATGGAAACACATCTATCTCCGATTCAGTTTATCCCTCATCCAAGGTTTTAGCAGATGGAGAAATAAAAACATTCAGACTCCTTATAAAGCTGATGCTTTAATATCGATTAGCTTAGTCCCTGTTTTCATTCTTATTCACAGTTGTTTGCCAAAGGATTTAAACCCATCGACTTCATAGGGCTTCTGTTAGTTTTAATTAAAGCTCCAACACAGGGAAAAAACTAATTATGAAGCTGAAGAAAAATGTCTGATTATTTCAAAATAAATAGAAATAAATAAAACATTTGCTGTGCATAAGTATTCAGCCCCCATCAGTCTGATACTTCACTCCACTTCAACCGACTGCTTTTACTCAACTAATTACTAATTGCTAATTACTCAACAATAATTGTAAAATCAGCTGCTCTATGAAGACATCATGGTTCCATTGTAGAGTACAGACAGCATCATGAAGGCTAGAAACGGCAGATTCATTGGCACGGCTGGAGATAAACAAAGTGTAATCCTAGAAGAAGAGTGAGGTTACAGAGAAATGGTTTATCAAGTCACAGTATTGTATTAGAATATCCAATTCAAAGTCCAAACCTAAGTTACATTGAGAATTTGTTTGCAGATGCTCACTGTTCATCCTGACTGTGCTTGAACTGTCCTGCAAAGCCAAATGTGCAGAATTATTTTCCTAGTTACCCAAAGCTGGTAGACATCCCCAAAATAGGTGCCAATGCCCTCACTATAAAATATATTTCTATGAATTACCACATTTAACTGCATGATAGACTTTTCTGAGTTTTATTTTTTAGTACTCATAACCTTTTTCTGACACTTTACACATTTTTTTTCTTGGTTTATCATAAAATCTCAACCAAATCGCAATGTTTTTGTCTGTTCATGACAATATGCGTGAGGTGAATACTTCTCCAGGTTACTGTCGGTATTGCGGTATTTTATATGCCGGCCGGCAAACATGCAGTAAACAACAAAACAAGTGGAAAAAAAGGTGTGGCATAAACCCCAAAACATGGAAGCACAAAAAAACAAATGCAGCATTTTGTTTGTGGCTGCAGCATTTTTTTTTTTTTTGGCATTTGTTTTGTTGACTGCAGGTTTTTTCTTCTATTTTTTTTTTATGCTTGTAGAGTTTTTAGTTTGCAGTGTTGCATTTAAAGGCAAGTTAAATGTTGCATTTCCTCTTTGTGCTTTGGGATGAAGGATCACTTAAGTTAAACATTTCAAATTTTAAACTTTTTAGAAATGTGTCTTATAGAAGGTGATATTTAATTATAAAAAGAAATGTGCAGAAGAATATTTTGACATTTTTCTTTAAAATAAAGTCCAGCTTTATGGTTTGCATGCAGGTTTTTGTAGAGCTTTTAATTCAAACAGGTTTTAGAGAATCCAAATAAAGCCTTATGAGAGATTCTGTCTGATCAGCAGAGTTTATTTGAAACCACAACTGAAAAATTGTCACACAACCACAGGGCTGAATGTTTCAAGAAGGTTGGAAAGCTGCTTTATCAACAGCAAAACATGTGACCTGTGTTACCAGACTCATCTGTGTATGCACATCTGTAGGTGGTGTGGGTATTGCTGCTACCCAGCTGTGTCAGACCGTGCAGGATGTGACGATTTTTGGCACAGCGTCGGCTTCCAAACACGAGACCATCAGCCAAGGCGGTGTTACTCACCCCATCGACTACCGAACCAAAGACTATGTGACTGAAATACGAAAAATTAACCCAAAGGGTAAAAAAAATACAACCATTTTGCTCCAAACAGTTTCTATCATTACGATTTTTTGCAAGTTTTGTTCTCTTTGACAACCTTTTATATTGGTTATCCTTCTCTGCAGGTGTGGATATCGTCCTGGACCCCCTTGGTGGTGCTGACACTCAAAAAGGCTTTGGTTTGCTTAAACCTCTAGGCATGCTTATAGTCTTTGGTAAGGCACCACATTTAAAAAAGAAAGTATTAGTCACCAACATTTCATGTGTTTGAGATTTAGCTTAAATCTCCAGGAAACAAATAAAATATGATTTAGCTAAGAATATGAAGCTTTGCGTTTAAAACATCAAAAATGGGCCAAGGATTAAAAAAAATAACTGTCTTTTTCCTCGGATCCAGGTACTGCCAACTGTGTGACAGGCCAGAAGAAGAACCTGCTGGCTATGGCAAAGACCTGGTACAACCAGCTCACCCTCAACACCCTGAAACTGATGCAAACCAACAAGGCCATCGCTGGCTTCCACCTGGGCTACATTACAGATGAGGAGCTCTTTGAGAGGACTCTTGTTAAGCTGATGGAGCTGTACCAGCAGGGGAAGATCAAGCCACGCATTGACTCCTGCTATCATTTTGAGGAGGTTGGTACTTTGAAATATTCATATGGGAGCACTTAAATGTTATTAATAATTCCAGATAATTACCGCTATTGTCACCAGTTTTACATTAGAGCAGCGTTCGTTTTTCATCAAACAACTAACTAATTACTTTTCTCATATTGGTGACATTGGGAGATATGATACAGGCATACCTGTTGGAGGAGGGCGGATGTTCAACATTTCCTGAACATAGAGTGTGGGGACAGAATACAGCCACTGTGTCAATGACGGTGTTTCTGAAATCAAAGGCTAAATGTTTGTTTGGTTTGTTTATTTTGTGCAAAAAAAAAAAACAAACATTTAATATACAGTGAGAAAATAAATATTTGAGCACCTTGCTATTTTTGCAAGTTCTCCCACTTAGAAATCATGAAGGGGTCTGAATTTGTCATTATAGGTGCATGTCCACTGTGAGAGACATAATCTAAAAAAAGAAAATCCACAGATCACAATATATGATTCTTTTTTTATTATTTAAGTGTATGATACAGCTGAAATAAGCAATTGAACACTTCTCTATCTGCTAGAATTCTGACCCTCTACTGTCCACCTCCACTCCATTTATTACCATAAATTAGATGCACCTGTTTGTGGTTGTTGGCTACATAGAGACACCTGTCCACCTCATACAATCAGTAAGAATCCAACTACTAACATGGCCAAGACCAAAGAGCTGTCCAAAGACGCTAGATACAAAATGGTTCACATCAACAAGGCTGGAAAGGGCTATGGGGGAAATCGCTAAGCAGCTCGTCGAAATAAAGGTCAACTGTTAAGGCAGGCATCAGAAAATAGAAGAAGCTAAACATGAGTGTCAATCTCCCTCGCACTGGGGCTCCTTGCAAGATATCACCACATTGGGTCTCAATTTTTTTTTCCAGCATTTTTTATTGTCACAAGTACAGAGCAATGAAATTAGGCATTAGGTCTGCATTTAACCCATCTCCTAGGGGGAAATGCAGAGAGTGCAGTGCAGAGTACCCTTGGGTGGCCGGGGAGCAGTTTGGGGGTTAAGGGTCTTGCTCAGGGACGCAGAGTGACAGTCTGTGGGAGTTGGACTAGAATTCAGAATCTCAGGATTACAAGCGCAATGTCCTAACCACAAGCAGGCATTAGCTTACCACTTAAGCTAGCCAGCCGCTAATGATCCCTACACAGGAGGAGCTGCTCAATGACCTGAAAAGAGCTGGGACCACCGTTTCCAAGGTTACGGTTGGTAACACACGAAGACATCATGGTTTGAAATCATGCGTGGCATGGAAGGTTCCCTCTGTTTAAACCAGCACATGTCCAGACCTGGTCTTAAGTTTATCAATGACCATTTGGATGATCCACAGGAGTCATGGGAGAAAGTCATGTGGTGAGATGAGAGCAAAATAGACCTTTGTGTTCATAATTCCAATAATCATGTTTGGAGGAAGAAGAATGATGAGTATCATCCCTACTGTGAATCAAGGGTGTGGTAAGAACATGCTTTGGGGGTGATTTTCTGCACATGGGACAGGGCTGTATTAAGACGAGGATGAGCAGGGCCATGTATTGCGAGATTTGGGGGAACAACCTCCTTCCCTCAGTTAGAGCATTGAAGAAAGGTGGATAAAACTAAACTAAAACTTCACTAAAATGCAACTGATGTTACTGTTTTTTGGGTAACTAGTAACTATAACTTTTTACTTTTCTTAAATAAATTTCCCAACACCCGTTAGCAAGAACAGAAATTCTATAAGCTGAAGAAAGAACTGCAATAAAGGGCTTTTAAATCCTTGTTTGAAGTGTACTTAAAAATAATTTTCTCCTATGTAGAATGGATAAATGGATCAAAGTTTCTAGGTATAGAACATTCAAAACAACTTGTATTACTCCAAAGTCTGGCCCTCCAAGCAGGTCTCCTAAGATTTGATTGTAAGGTGCTAAAAGAGGTCTATAAAAAGAGAAAAATACCCTCTCCTTCCAGTAGGCTCCTTTTACAGTTAATATGAAAGTTCTTGTCTGCACGAACTGACAGAGACTTAAAAAGTTAAACTTCGATGGGAGGAAACCTCTCTGCTCTTTCAGGGGAAAAAAACAAAACAACCCCATAAAGGTCAGGTTGACCATAGAGAAAGCAGAGAAAAATTAGGACTACAGGAGTTGTGATCAGACGGATGAGTCTAAAAATCGAATTACTTAGAAACTTACTTAGAAACAAAGCCTTGTACGAGCAACATTTATGGATACTTTTTTGCAGCAATACCTCACCGATCCTACATAGTTCTGCCTGGAATAAGAGGCTCTGTGAAACCAGCTAAATGTAAATTTAAAGCAAGACTGGACAGCGACCCAAGTAGTACCAGTAAGCAAAATGAGGAGTGAACTAGCTGAGGATTATGCTGGTGAAGATTCTCAGTCATCCAGGTCATAGTCATTCTAAAAAAGATAACCCTCCAAGGCTTAAATTAAGTTTTATTTTCAGGAAAAAATCTGATATTTGGAGAAAATTATCATATGGGGCAGTAATATACAATTCAGACTTTTTTTTGAGAGAGACCTTCACATGCAGTGAATTCTGGGATGTTGCAGATTTGCAGCAGTTTCCCGGAGTGGTAAATTCACACTGAAGACTGAATCTAATATGAACGTTAACTTTATTTGAATGTCACAAACAAAAAATTAACAAAACAAAATTTGAAAAAAAAAAAATATTCTCACAAAATTAGAGACAATTTTTTGTCAAACCTTTTATCCACCGACATCTCAAAACGTCTTGAGAAGGCCGTTTTTGTTAGACTGTTGCTTAAAATATAGGCCAACTAGTAGATAAAGCATGTAGCATCCACTGGTACCTGTTTGGGCACACGTTGCGAATCCACAACATTGAAATCGAGATGCCTCTGGTGAAATACCCAGAGGAGATAAAATCTACTTGTTGGCATGTGTCATATCTATACACATTCATAATTCATCTTATGTAGTATTGATTTCAAAATAATGGAAATTGATAGTAAAACTTACATGAAATTGGTGCTTAGAAAATCTGTTTCAGTGACACCAAGGACTCCATGTTGAAAGTGAGTCAGCAGTGCTATCTGGTGAGCTGGAGAGAAACTGTTGCAAATGCACAACTAAGTCCTTCTGTTGTACTTCTGAGTAACAAAAGCTCTTAAAATATGGACATGGAGTAATTAGCTAAGTGGCATTTAGCTGTTGCAAATCTGCAACATCTGCCTGGAGAGGGTTAAAACAATCCAGTGACCTTTGCTTCCAAGTTTAGGAGAGAAGCCATCTATGTTAAGAAAGAAAACCAACCTTAAACAGGGGTGGACTCTGGTTTCAGCTTTCAAAAAACCTTCAATTCAGCGATTGAGTTTATTCCTTCCCGCTATCATCACAACCCCCATCCCCTTACAGGGGAACAGAACACTTCGCCTGTTAAGCCAGGCCAACAATTCCCTCTAACGACCCCCTTTCAGAGACATAGACAGGTATCTGGTATTGCAGGCTAACAAAGAACCCATGAACGACTGTTCTTAAGTGGCGGAACCGTTCGTCCGGTTAAATTTGCATGTTTTAGCCAAAACACGGCTTTGTTTTCGGTTCACTCTATAAAGCCTCGAACTCAACGCTATTTCTCAAAACTGGAATTGAAGAAGCTTCCTGGATGGGAAGCGAAAGGTCTTCAAACTTGGAAACAAAGTCCAGCGGATTGTTTTTTAACTTTTTTGGAATAGCTAAGGATTAGGACATAGAAAGTCGTGCACCAGGTCTAAGTCCTCAGTTTTTCACAGCTGCATTCAAAATCAATAAAGATATATTATATGCTTTATTAATGTCTTTACATCATCGAAAAATCAGGAAAACAATCAATACTTAATATGTAGAAAGCCTTGTATAATGTGAAACTTTAAATGTATTTACAATATACCTAAAAATACTTTTTCTTATTATCTATAGGTATATTTTTTTACTCCAATTATGTTTTTGCTGAACTTTATGCTTTGTGAAAAATACAATTGTTAGAAAATCTAAGAAACATATCAAAAGAGTGACAGTTTAAAAACCCCCTTTCTAACTAAATACATTACTATGAACTAACTGTGGGCAAAAAAAAGAGAGTAATTGTTGGAGTTTCTGGAAGGTCTGTCATCTGGGCGTTTTTGTTTTCGTTTTTTTTTTTTTTTATCAGGTATATATGTCTTTTGTCAGCACTCAGCGTTGCAAAGTAAATGGAGCAAGCTGGCTTTTTTTTTTTTTATTATTCCCAGGTCACTGAAGCCATGAAGCGAATGCATGATCGTCAAAATATCGGAAAAGTCATTCTTATTCCCGAGCCTAAGAAGAGTGAAGAGAAGCCGCAGTCCAATACAGAGGAGGCGGAAAATGTGGGGGAAAATGAAGCTGCCGTCAGCGACCAGAAAGAGGAGGCTGCAGTGGAAGTTGAAGCAGAAAAGGATTAAGTAAGAGTTCATTTTAGTGGCATTTCCAGCACTCCATCCACAAATCTGTCCTTTTTTTAGGAAAAGAAAGGAAAAAAAAAAACGAGAAGAAATGTGGTATCTTCTGTGATTTCTGTCAGTATTCAGCTGTTGGTTTTGTTGTGCAATATGTCAATAATGTCTTATTGGGAACACTTGTTTTTTTGAAATAAAGTCCACTTTATTCTGATACATTTCTGAGGAATCATTTATTGCATTAAAGAAAAGGGTGCACAGACAGATTCTCTTTGATATGTGTACCGATAACAAAACAATGTTAATACCATTTGTAGTAAATTGAACTTCAACTAATGGCTTTGGTTTGAAAACAGAGGGATTTCACATAAATGAGGTCAGAGACTACCTCTACCTGTGCTGCTGCCAGGCTGTGGTGAAGTTTATCAGCCATATCAACATCTTACTCTGAAAGCTGTTCAGAAACTTAGCTCTACAACTATACAAGTGTGGTTTTTAGTCCAAAACCACATTCAAAGTCAAAGTGCAAGCAAAACCGTACCCAAGGCTCCTACTGAATATGGTGCAGCTGCTGTGTCTGGTACCCCACTTAGGCTCCGGCTGCAGAAATGGCGTTCAAAAGAAAAAAAGTCTATGTAGGTTACCAATCTTTCTAGAAGTTTCTAGAAGTAGTCGGTCAAAACTCATTATTAGTGCATCTAAATATCAGTTTCTTCCGTCTTGCCGTTTTGTTTTAACTATACGAATTTGTGTAGGCTGGTGGGTTGATTTTATTCTGAAATTCCTCTGGACCTTTTCCTGTTTAGACTTAGACAGATTTATTTAGTCATTTTGTATACACAAGTGTAAACAAAAAGAAATTTCATTTAGAACAGCTCGCTAGACAATTTCATTTTTTAAAGTGCAGCCTTGATAAGGTAAGCAGCAGCAGTTGTTGTTGAGCTGCTACTACTGCCTCCAGCTCCTGAAGCACTCTCTTCTCCTGGCTCAGGGGAGGAAGAGGAAGATGATGATGATGCTGTGAGGGTGGTAGCCCCCTGGGTAGAAGAGGCTGACGTGGTGGAAGCAGCAGTGGTGCCATCGGTAGGTTTAGCAGCGACAGACGATGCTGGAGAAGGTGTGGAAGCCAGATGGGGCCGGGAGGAGCCGGCTGGGGATGTTTCAACATTTGGCAGGGAAGCATCTAGAGTGCCCTCCTCATTTTCACCTGCAGAGGGCTGTGCTTCCCCTCTAGATGCCGAAGATTGCCTGGGAACAGTCTCAGAGGGCCCTCCATTCATTCAGAGCTCTTTGATTCTATCGGCGCGGTACAGCATCAGCCCCCCCAGGCCAACAGCACCGTCCACTACTGCTGGATGCAGCCAAGACCCCGGCAGAATGATGGCGCAGCAATTACTAATCTCCTTCTTTGAAGAGAGTTTGAGTTATCCATTTTGTTATCCAACGAGCGGTCGTTGGAGAGCACGATTGATGGAAGCGGTGGTCTATGGGGATCTCTCTTTAGCTTCGCAGTTAGCCCCCCTCTGGACCCTCACTTTCTCCGTCTCGCATATCTCTTCCTCCGTCCGTTATTTTCCGCTGTTGTTTTGCTGACATCCATCTGTAGCACTCTGCAGCTTTTAAAACGGTCAAAAATGTCTATTTAAAACATTTTGTGACCGTAGCTCCTGCATGTTTGGCGTGTGAAATTCAGGAACTTGATTCGCCGACCAGCCAAACTTCCTTCTTGCCAGAATAATTTGTTGATCTGTGTTGAGCACCACACAGCCGCTGATGTGAGGGTATTATGTGTGGTTTTAATGATGTACAGCAGATGCACTGTGTTCAGTGTGTGCCTGTTTTATAAACCATTTCAGATTTTCAGGAAAATATCCACTCCTTGAACTGCCAACTTAATGTGGTAAGGGGGTTTCAGTGCATCTATGATCACAGAGGCTATTTTGTCAGGTGCTTAAATGCCTCTGTGGATGTAGGATCTTCCAAGGCAAAGGGGCTTAAGAACTCAAGGCCAGTGATATCACCTGGTGTGGCAGAGCTCTTGCTTACCATGGAGCCAGGCCTAGGCTTGAGGTAATCAGTCAGTGCCTAGTGGTCGAGTTAATCTTTTTGGATCCAGCAGGGCCAATTCCAAATAAGAGAGACAAGACCGTCCACCATTGTGTCCGTTACCTGGGGAGAACCATGAGAGATCAATGCCAGGAATATTTGGCAGCAGTCGGAGGCGACCATATCAATGAAAATAAATAACTTCTGAGATGTTAAATGACACCAACTCAGAAGTCTCCTCTTGGAGTTCACCTTGTTGGATAAGATGTAGAGGAGGTTCCTTTGACTTTTGTCTTGGCCTAAAGGCTGAAAAGGGGTACATAGTACTAGACCTTCTTACCGTACTAGTGTGGGTGCTGGACTGGGATACTTCAGCACCCATTTAGGATACCATAATAATACCTTAAGGGTGTGATCAGGAGGAATGAACCCCTTACCTCACTCTGAACCAGAGTTGTCCTTTATGTGACTTTTTTGCAAGTCATGGATTGCCAGTTTTTTTACACCATGATCAAACATAAGGTTTTTTTTTTCAGTGCAATTTGCACCAGAATACCCTAGGCTGGAACTCGATGATTGGCATTGTCGTCAAATCTTCTGACCTTTAGTCACATATCTTTGAAACTCTGAAGAGACGAGTCAAGCAGTTCACATTTCACCACCTTGGGATTAGTTGTAGACGTTAGAAGAGGAGGAACCAGTAGAATTTGGCAGGCTCCAGCAATTCTACTGCAGGCATGCCCAAAGTTGGTCCTCGAGGGTGGCAGTCCTGCAGGTTTTAGAGATTTCTCTGCTTTAGCACAGTTGTTTCTGATGAGTGCATTTCAGTAAAAGCCTGTTCATCAATAAAAATCAGCTGTGCTGGAGCAGGGAAACCTCCAAAAACTGCAGGACTTTGGGCATGCCTGGTCTACTGGGACTGTACAGCAGAGCCCTCTGTAAGTTTGGGTTTAACTCTGGGAGAGCCTCCCTCAGATTTCAGGGGAGGTTAGGGACATAGAGTCCATGTCTGCTATATTCTCTACATCTATCATCAATGCAGCTGCCCGTGGCTATGGCCTTAAGATCTGCGGGGCCTGTTGTGGTAGCAACCCAGTGATGGACAACTACAGTAAGGAATGCCTTCAAGATGAAGAAAGCATCCCATCAAGCCTAGTTGGATGATGGGCTCCTGAGGCAGCAAATTGGCACTGTGCGGCAGTACATCTGTGTAGTTGCAGAGGCTAAAGCTTACAGTGGGAACTGAGATTTCCTGAGCTTGAATGAGGACATAGTTGGATGGTGGAAGGAATACTTTTGTCTTCCTTAGAAGCAGATAACAGAGATCTATTGAGTACCTCAGGTCTTTTAATGTTGTTGGGCTATGATCAATCAAGGGTGGTTTACATGTCTTATCAACATTATTGATAATGCCCCTAGACTGCCAGATTGGGGTGCTGTTCTTGCTCCACAAGAATGGCATTGGCACAGAGTAGGGATCTCACTTTTCAACCTCCAAGGGAGTTGCTAAAGAGAAGGGTCAAGTTAATTGTCCAACCTCAACTTAAGGAGGAGTGATGTGGTTTTTCTCCTGGCCCTGGAATACTGGACCAGCTCTACACCCGTCCACTGAATACTTGAGGGTTCACTGGAGTTTGCCAACACTTTACTGACCTGGAGAAGGCATCCAGATGTATACCTCATGGTTCCCTGTGGGGATCAGCTAATGTTGCACTGACTCAAAGGGGCAAGACCTTTGAAATTTTAGCATTCAAGTTCAAGGGCAGGGCATCATCAAATTATACTGATCAATATCTCAGATCAGATTGACACTGGAGTATGACATGTCTCCATCCTGCACAGACCCAAACAGTTGTTTTAGCTGTCTTTGTATTATTTCAGTATTTCTGCATTAATTTGTTACACCTCATAGAACTTGCTGTGGGTTAATACTACATCCTGTCATGGATCCGGGGGTAGAGATCTTGATTTATTTGTATGAAATGAAATACTTCAAATTAAGTAATTTTACAGCTATGAATACTAGATGGTATTTTCTATTTCTAACATATTAAAACTATTTTTCTTTACAATTAGGTTAATAATTTTACTATTAAATGAAGGTTTGTATACATAATGTTGAAAACAACACTGCACAAGTGAACATCTTAAAAAGTTGAACAATTGTATTTTGCTTCACAATCAAAAACCCATATGAATCTTTATCTTCCACTTGGGTTGATGCTGTTTGGCAAAAGTGAATCTTTTTTTTTCTTCAGCTGAGATTTTTCAGAATCAATTCTATGTTCCTAAGAAATCTAGTCATATTTGTGCCAAACATAATGTCCCTAACAAAAATAATGAATACTGTTAATTATTCACTCAAGGCAAGACATTTTATAAGTCATCTTTTTTTCTCATTTTTGCCTTGGCTGCTACAAGACCAAATGTTACTATCAGGTAACTCATTTACTTTCCTCTCTTATTTTTGCCACTGCAGCCAGGCCAACTGTGAATAACAATTACAGGGACTTTCCTACTCTGCAATCTCTTTTGGGCTTCCTTCCTATAAGCACTTATCCCTGAACTGAACTTAAAGTGACAGGAAAAAAATTCCAGGACACACATATTCAAATGTACTTACATTTTTTATCATCCTTTTTTCCTCAGTAAATTAAGTTTAAGAGATTACTTTATTCCCAAGTTATCTAAATAATTTATGATGATACTTGATCTCACACTGTAGAAATTTACCTCTGCATTTAACCCATTCCCTTGGGGAGCAGTGTGGGGTGAAGGGTCTTGCTCAGGGACAGTGCAGGCTGTGGGGATCGAACCGGGTACTTGGAACCTTCTCAGAGCACAAACGCACTGCTCCAACCCCTAGGCATACAGTGGGGCAAAAAAGTATTTAGTCAGCCACCAATAGTGCAAGTTCTCCCACTTAAAA